TCTCCAAAATGTGATTTTGTGGGTACTGCAGTGATACACCAACATCAGACGAAGCAGTGGCAGCTGTAAATTCAGTGTAAAGAATGGGAAGGGTACTGCTAAACCCGTGATCCTCAGTAGCTGCTCCATGAGGAATGACCTTCCCAACCCAAGGCAATTCTCCACCTGGCAGAGGAGGGCACTGAAGTTCCAACAAACAGCATCCAGACAGAAATTCAGATCGGATTCATTGCTGAAAGCCATGAGAATCTCTGTGAATTAAGCGGGCTCTCCTGCACAGCAACCCCCCAGTACACCTCACCTCTTCTCTCTCAAATAAGAATGGTGGTACACAAACAGGTATGGCAGCTAAAGGGAGAGCTGCTTCTCCAGTCCATATGCTTCCAAAGATGTGTCAGTAAGGACTACAAGGTTCTGGGATGAGAGGTTTAGCTTAGTTTAGAATTCAATGGATGCACATCTCCACCAGGCTACTCCTGCACATTCTCACCCTCCTTTCCAGCAATCAAACAAGCGCAGAACAATCATTCAAAACCAGACAGGAGTTCTGTGATGCTGCACCTGGCCACCACTTATCTCTGGGAATAAAAGACTTGAACAGTGCTACAGGAGAACGCCTCTCCTCACTCACCAGATGGCTCCTCGGGCTCACTTTCATTCTCTTCTTCTGCAGGAGCAGGTGGAGGTGGAGGTGGCAGCTTCTTCTCTTTCTCAGCTTTAGCGTTTCTCTCTTCTTCAGAGTAATATTCATCTTCTGAGAGATTTGCAAGGCTCTCATCCATCTCTCTATACTCTACCTGCAGAAAGAACAACACACCGTCAACACACGAAGCCATCAAAGTCCCAGTACTAAAACAAACACTGCAAGCAACAGAACCACTTCCAGGCTCACAGAATAGGCCTGAGCCACCTCAGCCAGCGTTACATCTCAGGCATCACACAGGTCTTCAACAGCTCCACAAGTTCCATGTTTTCTCCTGCACAACATAACCTGTCTTCGACACCCAAAAGTAGGAGCTTCCTCCCAATATTTAGCCCAATTTCTGTGTTTCTGTTAAGCCAGCATCATCACTTGACCTCTGCAGCTTACTTCCCTGTCTTCAGCTCCCTGTCAAACTCAGGGATACAAACTGCAAGAGCCCAACCCATAACTGGGATTCATCTGCCCAGTTCTGCACTCCCTGCTGGATTCAAGCACCTCTCCATTCAGACTTCACAGTGCACAAACTTAGAAGGGTTAGAAGTGACCGTGGCACCATTCACACCTGCAAGTTCCCTAGAAACACTATGATCCCTAGAGATAACTGACAGTGCTACAAGTAGTGGCAAGGATAAAATATAATGCAAAACAAAATAACCCACGATAACTGAGAAGAAATATTCCAGTCCCACCTTGCCCCATTCCCAACATTAGGAACGAGGCAGATACAACCCCCACATCTCTTCAGCTGCTCTCCAGCACAAAGAAATATTACCAGCTTCAGAAAAAAGCATGGCCCAACTGAAAGGAACACAGGAACTTCAGGAGAAATAAAAGCATTTTTTCCAAAGTAGGAAAGTTCTGCATACTGCTATTAAATTTCAAAATAGGCAGTCAATAGAAAATGAAGAAGAACACAGCTGGTATCCCCCCAGCACCCTGCAGCTCAGCCCCTGGCACGTGACAACAAAAATAACTGCATTTCTGACCACAGAAAATGAGACGCTTTTCACTTTTACCATCAAAGCTGGGTCATTAAGGAGAGGCATTAATGGCCACAACCCAAAGCAGCACAGGGAGCCCCGCACACAGGCAAGCATACGTTCAGCAGAACACCAACATGCACACTTATTCACTCACTTTCAACTCTTTAAACCCAATTGAGTCCAGCACCATTGGTTTTTACACAGTTGTGTGAATGCAGCACTGTTAGATCTGTTGTGAGCTCCCATCCTAAGGTAACTTGCAGCAATCCCACAGCATCACAGGCGTTTGAAACCAAAAGAAAGCAGTTCTGCCCCAAAGCCCTCTGGCCTCTCCTCCTCCTTCAGCTCCCACAGCATTCAGAGTGCAGTCAAACCCAACAAAAAACATGCTTCTCCCAGACCAGGTGTATTTATTAATCAACCTGGATAACCTCCACTGATTTCACAGCACAAACACAGTGACTCAAGGCAGGTCCACCTGGTAATAGTGGGAAGGAGTTCTGGGAACCCCACATTATATCTTTAGGGAATGGATACTGCTCACACAGAGAAGCATCACCAAAACATACCCCAAACGGTGCAGCAATTCCTACCTGTTAACAAAGCAAGTAAAACCCTCTGAGCTGCATCAGAGTGACCCTATTTGACAGTTCTTATATACAAAGGGTTGGTGCTGCTTTCAGGGCACAGCCACACAGTACACCACACAGCTCAGGGTCCCCAGAGATCCTGTCAGCTTCCATCTCAAATCCCCTCAGCATTACACACCCCTATGAGCTCCACAATCTTCCACAATGAGGTTTCCAAGTGTAAGTGATTTATAAAGAGTGCAGGTTGCAGTTATTGGCAGCTGCTGGAGACTCTTACACCTCACAGCCTAATATCACTGTCATTAAGGTTGGAAAAGCCCTGTAAGATCATCCAGCCCAACCCCACCCCCACCATGCCCACTGACTGCATCCCTCAGGGCCACAATGATTCTGGAGCACCTGCAGGGACGGTGACCCCACCACCTCCATGAGCAGCTGTGCCAGCACATCACCGCTGTTTCAAAGAAGCAATTGTTCCTAATGCCCAACCTGACCACCCCATGGTGCAACTTGATGCCATCACCTCTCATCCTATCACTGTTACCAAAAGCAGCTGATCTCCACTTGCCACAACCTCCTTTCAGGCACTTATAGAGAGCAATGTGGTCCCCCTGGAGCTCCTCTTCTCCAGAACCATCCCATTCCCTCAGCCGCTCCCCAGCGCTATGCTTCAAACAGACCCCTCACAGCTCATTTTCCTTCTCTGCACACACACTACTCCCTCCACATCTTTCTTGTACTGAAAGGCTCAAGGCTGAGCACAGCACTGCGATGCGGCCCCACCAGCACTAGCACAGAGGGACGGCCACCTCCAGCTGGCTGCACTGCTGCTGACGCAGCCAGGATGCCGTGTGGTTCCCGGGCATCCTGCTGGCTCACGTTTAGTCGAGTGCCCCCAACACCCCTATAGCACCGATCAACCCCCCACGTTCACACAGCAAATCAGGACACACGTAGCACCGCACACGAAACGAACCCCGAGGCCGCCTCCCCCAGATGCCCTGGCAGCCCGACGGCCGCAGCACAGCCCCCGCCTCGCTCATTGGCTCGGGGGAGGAGGCCACCACTGAGCGAGGCTCCGCCCCCCGGCCCGCCCTTACCTTGGCCCGCTTGCGGCGGCTTGTCCGGCGGCCCTCGGGGGTCTCTGCGATGCCGGTGGTTTCGCCGCCGGACGTGGGGGCGGCGGGTGGCTCGGACGCACCTCCCGGGGGCGAGGCCCGAGGCGGCTCCTTCTTACGAGGAGTGCGCTCCCCGGCCCCGCCGCTCTCAGCGGAGGAACCCAGCGCTCCTACAGCAGCCGACGGAGGTACCGGAGCCTCGGGCCCGCCCTCGCCGCCCGCCGCCTCCGCGGCCTTCTTTCCCCCGGCCAGCATCGCCGCTGCCGCTCCGCACAAAGGGACCGCGAGCGCGCACGGCGCCGCCTCCTGACGTCACTTCCGGGGCGCGCGTGCCGGACGCAGCTCGCACGCCGGACGCAGCTCGCGCATGCGCTTCGGTCCCCTCGCGAGAGCGCCTCGGGGCGAGGCGGGAACGGCGCGCGTTGGAGGACATGTTGGGGCGCGAGGGGCGGGATCTGAGAGAGGCGAGGGCAGAGCGAGCGTGGCGCAACTGGGAGCAGCGCTGGACAACGGGAAGGCAACCGATGTCACCTGGCAGGAGTTGTGCAAGGCGGTGCACAACATCCTCATCTCTGAGCTGGAGAGAGACAGATGGCCCCCAGGGCTCCATCTCAGCACCGGTAACCTTCAGCATCTTTACCAGTGGTGTCAATGATGGATGGAGTGCACCCTCAGCTGCTGATGGCACCAAGCCAGGCGGTGCAGTAGAAAGAAGAAATGCCATCCTGAAGGACATGTATCCGTGGACAAGTGGATCCATGTGAACTTGATGAAGTTCAGCAAGGCCAAGTGGAAGGTGCTGCACCTGGGTCTGCACAATCCCAGGTGTGTGTATGGAGTGAGAGAACTGATGGAGAGCAGCCCTGCAGAGGAGGACTGAGGGAGCTGAGGGTATTCAGCTTGGAAAAGGCCCTGGGAGACCTCTTTACAGCCCTGCAGTAATTGAAGGAGGCTTATAAAGAGGAGGAGAGTGACATTTTACATGGTCTGATGGTAATAGGACAAGGAGGAATGATTCTCAACTAAAAGAGAATTAGGTTAGATGTGAGGAGCAAATTCTTTACATGAGGGGCTGCAAGGTGCTGGCACTGCTGCCCAGAACTGTGGGTGCCCCATCTCTGGAGTTGCCCAAGGCCAAGAATGGGGTACAGGGCAGCCCAACCTGGTGAGGGGCACCCAGCCCATGAGAAGGAGCTGGAACTGGATGATCGTTAAGGTCCCTTCACCCACACCATCCTATGATTCAAGTTAACCCTTTTATTTCCAAAAACATTATAGGCTGCTCCTCTAAAACTGTGTCCTAAATCCCTATCTGTAGTTTTGCTTCACGTTCTTTAGTTTATAAATACAAATCATGCATCATCTATTCCTACTGCTCCTAAGGCATCATCATGCCCACCATCTCAGAATTCTCCCAATTCTCCCTGTGACCAAAAAAGCAAATGTAAGCTAATAGCAAAGTGTTGGAGAATGTTCAGGCACTCAAAAGGATCAGATCTTGCTTTGATTTGTTGTCTCTGCACAAAACTGAGAAGAGCATTTCAACTTAGAACATACAGGAAATCAGATTTTTATATAAAGTAATCGCATTCAGTCCACTCTGATGGCACATACAAACCCACATTTAATTTCTATCTTTATTCAAAAGTAAATTCAATTCCACATCTCACCTGTGATGACAGATGCAGAAGCCATTTCTCCAAATACCCCTTTACCCTTCCCCAGCCTATACAAACAAACCGTATCTTGGATTACTTGTATTACAGTGATCACGAGCAATATTTTCTGAGTTCCCACACTGTTTCAGTCAAGTCCATATGAATGAAAAAACCCTCTGCAGACCTCAGAATTAAAGTTCGACATGAACGCGCAGCCTGAGCATCAGACCTCTTCCATATACACAATTAAATTAGGCAAAGATTGACAGAAATGAAGGAACCGAGGTGTGGAAATGCTGTTAACCATTACGCTTACAAGCAAGAGGAGGAAGACCAAAGAACTTACAACTTTCTTTAATGCATGGGTCCTGTCTTCACTTCTCCATCACATTCTTCTGCACCTCCAGAATGGAGGACAGCCCAATCCCCCCTATACCAATACTGAATACAGACTAATCCTCATTTTCAAGGAGGCCATGATTTATTTCTTTGACTCTGACTCAACCGTATTGCCACATTTCAGAGAAACAGCATTTTCCCTTATGACAGACATGGATTTAACTCCAGCAGAAAGGCTCATACCTGCATTAAACTCTTTTTAAACACAGTGACCGGCTAGTATGGTTATGATGTGAGAAATCATAGCATTCAAAACCTCTTCATTGTGAGTGAAGATGGAGACAAAGTTCACAGAACACCAAGAAGGGGAAAAGAATCAAAACCAATGTAAAATTTAAGAAACAGGTGCCTCAAAATATTATATTTTTCTCCCCTTACAAATCTATATGGAGATAAAAGCCAGAGCATAGGAGGCACGGCCTTCACCCAGGACTTTATTCTAAATTGAGTTCCACCACTTTGCTTTTGTTTAAAAATAAAAAGTCAGAATTTAATACTGTTTCAGGATTCTTGGATTTGTCGTGCTGTTAACGTCACACCCGTTTTTAAGAGCTGCTCCTAACTTTGCCTCTGGATGGAAGCGCTGTCTGCCCCACAGGCTGCTGTCACTCTTGCTTTGCTTCTTTCAAGGCTTGCAGTCTTTCTAAAAGGGGTGGATGGGAATAATGCCACATTGAAAAGATCCAGTCAGAAACAGGGAATCCTAAGTTATCTTTGTTTAGTTTGATCAAAGCAGAATATAGGTCTTTAGCCTTTCCAAGTTCCTTGGCAAATGCATCTGCTTGAAACTCAAATCGTCGGCTCAATACAGTCAAGCAAAAGGAGAGAATCTGTGGAGAGAAACACGTTATAATTACCTAAAAATTCAACCATCTGCACTTTCTTTACACTGTCAGTGAACAGACACTGCTGTACCTTCCTTCCCCCATCCTACACATCACTGTGGCTGTAGATTGAGCTCACTAAGATTTGTCCAGGCCATACCCACAACTGGGAGTCTTACATGGAGCAGTAACGATCTTTATGAAACAGGAATAGCAGAGCTACTACAAACTTCCAACTTTTCTCCACAGTAATAATACAGTCAACGTAAAATTGTTATTTAAACAGGACAATACTTCAGCACCTGCATCTGAAAAACAAGTTCAAAGCCATACCTCATTGTAAGGTGAAAAAATGAACTGGAAAATAATCATCAAGCCTATCAGGGTCGGCTGAGTCTCGTAGAAGCCAAATGCAGCAAAGAGTTCTTTTCGACCAATCAGAACAGCAAACAAGAAGAAGCAGAGGAAGGAATTCATCTAGAGAAATGTAACAGCATTCTTGATTAAGATGAGCTTTTCATCCAACTCTAATATATGCCCTAAAATATAATTGGTTTGCATATAAGCTCCACAGGAAAGATAAATAGAAATCCAAACAGATTACTTCAGAACTCATATGTGCAGAGGAGCAAGCAGTTGGCTTTCACCAGCTTTCTGAGGGTGCATGCAATTAAAAAACTCATTGTTTTGGTCCAGGGCAACGTGCTCCACGTGTCCCTGCTAGAGCAGGGCGTTGGGTCCGATGGCCTCTGGAGTCCCTTCCAACCTCATCCACTTTGTGACTTCGTGTTATTTTCTGTCAGTGACCTAAAAAGATGCCTCAGGTAGCGAAGGAAGACAAAAAGGCAACACAACAAGAGGAGGAAACACTGAAGACAATCTATTTCCTTGGATTTAACTGTGGGTTCCAACATGTTTAAAGATAAACCATGTGTGTGCACATCACTCAAAGCAGTATCTGCTGTTTGTTCCATCATACACCTGCTCCTAGCAACAACGTTTGTTTCCATCTAATCCAATATGTGCCCACTGCTTGGTAGGTTGTCCAGAAGCAGCTCCCTGCTTTACCATGGTGTGCAGGGAACTGCTTAGTGCCTTTTCCATTCCTGCAAACAGCTTTTTTTAGAGTAATGTGGAATGTGGCAAATAACACTCACAGTTCAAACACACAGGACAGGAGAGAGATAGTGGCAATAAAAATCAACATAAGAAATAAAACATTGCAGAAAAATTGGTGAAAATTTCAAGAAGTGAAGGTAAAGCTTCCTTCAAAGTTTATTACAGCAAAATTATATCTAAATAGTGGCAAAAACATCACAGTCATTACTTTATCATCAGTAGGGATCGACACCAACATCAAAAGTTGGAATATAATTGCATTAATCAAAGTAGAAAGAATGTCACTGGAGGGTTTAGTGTCATGAATAAGAAAAACATAGCATGGAATCAGAGAGATTGTCTTAAGCAGTGATGTGACCTGAAAAAATAAAATCATTAATAGCTCTAGAGGAAAAAAAAAAACAAGAGAATAAAATTCCTGCACTCATCAACAGGAGAAAAGAAAAGAAAAAAGTTGGGAATTTGAAAAGATGGGTGCGTGATAATTGGAAAAAGTTAGATTACACCATGATAGACTTGATAATAATTAACGTAGAGTACATAGCTGTGAACTGGAAACCAAAACATCTGAAATTAGGAAGTAAGATACTTGGGGAAGGAATTCCCTTACACTGAGCTACAACGAGAGGCACATGCATGAATAAATGGACCATCGGGCTCCTTTCATTCCAACGTGAAGTTGCCCAACCTCCAGAGATTGCTTTGCTACTAAATCCCGGTTTGGGCACACAACAAGAATTGCAAATAATGTTATTTACCAATAAGCAACGCACAAGGCAGGACAAAACAAGTAAATAAAATAGAAATACCCTCTGAGTCAGATTTCGTAACTGGCAATCATGTTCCTCTGTTCTTCTGCAAGGAGCAAGAGCAATTCTCTGGTTCATGCTACCCACCAACCAGGTGGGGCAAGGAAGGGACAGGAGGGCACCGCAAGCTCAGTAAAGATACAAAAATGAAAACAAAAGGGGAAAAAAAAAAGAACAACAACTGGAAACAAGAACTTGAAACAATCACCACCACCAGTTTGTCATGACTTACCTGGCTGATAATAATGTTTTTGACAGTGTGACCCAGCTTCCAGTGACCCAATTCATGACCAAGGACAGCCAGAACTTCTTCATTCTTACATCCTTGCTTTTTATTCTGAGGGAAGAAAGTCAAACTGAGCACAGCTGAACATATTTTTCACTTATTGTTCTCTTAAGTCACTTAAGTTTCCCAAGACCAGCACTGCTATGCTCTTCCATTCTACCAACACATACAAGTTCTTAGTGAGGCTTTTTCAAGATGATATTCAGAAAATACGAAGTTGTGAGTTCAACAGTCTTTCTACCATGAAGCAGCAATGTCTCATTTCTATCTGTGCAAACATTTCTCAGCAGACCTGGAACAATGCTGGAAAATCTCCCAAACTCTCTCCAAAGCACCAAAGCTCTTGCCTGCAGTAAGAGGCACTCCTATGATGCACTGATAAGCAAAAGCACTCCCTTCAAAGGGAAGCTTACCTCCAGCAGTCCCAAGAGTAGAGACAAAAGCTAAAAACCCAAACAGGTCCCTCATTCCATCAGTTGCATTTGTTACGTGCAGGAAAATGTTTGCTAACGGCCCTGTGGACTTCTGAAGTCTCTGGTTATTGGCACCCACACACTGCCAACCCCAGAAATTCCACTTCGTAACCATTCAGGGATACTTTGATGATGGAATTTGGGATTTCAGCATCCCACTCAGGACCCTTAGAACACAAGGGATAATCTCACCAGGAAGTAAACACAAATAACAGAATGAAAGACATTGGGAGGGTAGGGAAGCATAACTCACTTTTGTTTTAGACTTTGTTTCTTCATTCTCACCCTCTTCTCCTTCTACTGGTTCTTTGTTCAATGCAGAATAATCTTCCAGGAGCGTGTCAAACAGCACTATCCTCTTATTCTTGAAGAATCCATAGAAGTAAGCATTGCTGTGAGAAGAACGCTTAGAACCTGGCAGGGAAGAACGAACATTAGAGACCACAGTTCAGATAATCCTGCTCATCAAAGCTTATACATAAAATCTTAGACAGAATGGATGCTTTCAAAGGAATTGCCAAAGTCCTGATACAACACAGACACACTCAAGCAAATCATTCCATGGGCTGAAGTGCATTTTAAGTAGAATTTATCTCTTTTACTGACTGCAATAGAGAAATAACATTTTTCATTGTTAAAACAAACAAACAAACAAACAAACAAAAAAACCAGCCAAGTGAAGATCTGCTATCCAAAAAAGAGAAAACAATGTCTATTGTAATTTCAGGTTCAGAGTGGAAAAAGAATTCTGCAAAGAACTTGTGCTGCTCCCCCAGCAAAGTCCTGTCATGGATTCATTCGGAATTGTCTGGAAGTGACAGAAAGGACTACTCACAATTCTGAAGCTGTAGGAGCAGATAAAGAAAGAAGATGAAGAGATGCAGTCCCTTACAATTGTTTGAAATAGGCAAGTTTTTAGTTATTTTCATCTAAATCACCTGAATGGTGGACCTACAGGCTCTTTCTATCACTGATAGAATTTAGGCCAGTAAAATCATCTCTTTCCATAGAACAGACTGCTTCAGTTGATCCCAGTAAGTTGTCAAGGTCAAAGGAACTGTTCAATTTGTCTATTTTTTTTGCCTACAGACAGGAGCCATTGCAAATCCAGACTGAATAAGGGCTCCATGGGAGAAGAGGTGGAATTTGGCTCATTTTATTCCAGCAACAGATAAGGTACTTCAGGCTGAAGGCACGCTCCCACTGTGTGTTCATCAGCTGCATCAACTCCTCAGGGCATAGGATATCCATTGTCTCATTGCCCAAGGTACAAACATGGCAACTTCAGCACTCAACCATGACAGATGGGCAGAGGAAGAGGCTGCTCAGAGCACGAGGCCTCAGCATCCAGTCCCTCTGCATCAAGGAAATCCCATGAGCAGCTACAAGGCAGCAATGTCTTTTGGCAACACATGTCAACCTCTATGAAAGCATTTGCAGGGAAGGAACCTTTGTAACCAAGCTGTTACTGAACGAACCCTGAAATTAACAGACTTTGTCGCACATCACCAATTATTGGTTATGAACTTGAGAGAGCCAAGACACAGTGCAGTGAAATGCTGGAAAGAAGACATCCGTAGAGCAGAGTCCAGATCAGCAGGGGCTCAATGCTTTAGGATGCCAGGAAAGAAGACAGAAAACCCACAGATTTCAAACTCTCACCTTCAACAACATACACCTTCGTCAATGGGAAGTCAATGCTCTTTGCCATGACTTCAATTTGCTGCTTGAGCTCTCCCTCAGGAAGTGGAATGAATTTATCAAACAAAGGAGCAATGTAGTCTGCATAGATGGTAACGAGCACCTGAAAAAAGCCAAAATTGTGTTTAGTATTAATTACAGGCTAAGGAACTGATGGTCTTTATCACAAAACCTTGCTGTGACGTACCATATCTCTTCCCATTGGTACCAGATGCAGACTGAGCAAGAAGGCCAGGGCTGGAGCAACACTCTGGCAGAAAGAAAAGCTGAACTTCTTTCCCTTGCTCTCTGGACCTACAAAGCTTTCTTTCTTTCTTTCTTTTTTTTCCCCTTTTTTTCTTTTAAGAAAAGGACAGGACTGGGAGAAAGTTTAAGTTCTAGTTAGAGGAAAGGGACAAAGAGTGTGGGCATGGGCTTAACCCTCAGGAAGAGGGGAGAGAGAAGGGGGAGGTGGGAGAAGAGGGAAACACAAAGAAAAAATCCTGAAAGATCTTCTAGCAGTATTTGTGAGCTAGACTCACCGCTTCAGCAGGGCACTGCTGCTACTATACTGTGTCACCATGGAGCTCCACATCAAACATGAAATCATTTTAATGGATACAAAAGGATCCTTCAGTTACCAATTCAGTCTATAAAAGCAGATATACCAGCAGGGCAAGAAATGGAAACCTGTTAATTGTCTCAGTGCAAAGTAAAACAACTGCAAATTGGTGTTTCGTTATGTGGAAAAGAAGCCCTGTGGGAATATTACTGACCAAGGACATTTTGTCCTGTCTTGTTAAACCAGTGGTCATTGGCTTGGCTCCCTTTCTATAGGTACAAAAAAAGAAAAAACAGAATCATAGAACCACCAAGATTGGAAAAGACCTCTAAGAGCATCCAGTCCAACCATCCTATCGTTGTGGAGCATTTTAATTCCAGTACCTGTTCTAAAGTTTTTTGAATGTTTATTTTCCGCTGAACCAATGCAAAATAAATCAAATCTAAAACATCAAATTAGCATGGGCAATTAATATGAGCTATTACTCCTGAACAGGTGCAGTGAGAACATGACAAAATATTTATTAAACACTGCAGGCACCAAAACTCCCAGGAGATGCAGATTCTTTCCTATGTTCCTTTCAGTTATGTATTATGTACAGGTCAGCACACCAAGCCATGTATGTGGAAGAACCCAAACATGCCCTCGTACTCACCAAGGACACAACTAATGTGAAGAGCCAGGCGTAGATGAAGAAGTAGTCTCCCCCTATTTTAATAATATAAAGCAGAAGGGATGTCACTGGCAACAGAATGCACTGTGTCACGATAAACTTCTTGATGGCATCCTTAAAAAAAAATCCCAGTGTCTGCAAAGGAAGGACAGCAGTGACATTTACAGTGTAAACACCAATGGGCCTCAGCAGTCAGTGAACTGATCCTTACACTGGACAAGCAGAAGCAAAATAAGACAAGTCATGAGACAACCAAGAGGCAATAACAATGTGTGGTAAGGAGAGCAGTCAGTTATAAAGGGTGGAAGAACTTCTTCAGCTCTGCTCGTAGCAGCTGTGGCTCCACATATCTACCTGGACTTGAGGCCCATGTGGCTGCACAGTTTGTTAGCAGGACCTGACCCAAACCTGAATTTTCTGGCATATACGTCCTTCACCACAGAAGAAAAGGAGAACGTTAAGTTTATCTGTCTCTTAATTCATTTACCAATCAGTATTCCAGATATGGTGGAGTTTTAGAGAAATGGGAAGTGGAAAGAAACAAAGTTACGTAGGATATTTTGTCTTTGAGCAGTTGCCTCAATTCATCTCAACTCAGTCAGCAAGCTGATTGTCTGACCTGGAAAAGGGACAGAAGTCCTCCTGAAGACTTGTAGGTAGCAGCTGGGCCTTTTACCCCTATCAGAATTAGAATAACTTTATCAGGATGGATGTTTCATAGATGCTTAAAGGATGCTTCAAAGACCTCTACTTGAATCAAACTTCACTAGTGATTCTGCAGTGCAGTTACACTCCCAGCTAGCTCTGTCAGAAAATGTTCTTTCAGTACTTACAGCTATCTGCAAGGCACAGAAGTGAAGGGTTTATTATGTACAGATCCTTTCCAACAAGGCATTAAAAGCCCCATACTGTGTTAAAGATATGGAACTCGTCTGGAAAGAAAAAAAAAAACAAAAACCTGGTGAAACAACTTGGGGCAATAGCTTGGATAGATTTCAACTCTCTCTTTAATGCCAGCACTGTGATATAGGAGGAACAGAGCTATCCATTTTTATGGTGCTTTCTGACTTTGCTCCATCTCTTCTGACCTTTCCAAGGCAGGTGTAAACTCAAGAGAAACCCTCATTTCCACCACATCATTCTCATGGAAGAGTCAGCCTGAAGATCAGTTGCAAAGTGCCAGGTGTGAATCTGGCTCATTCACTCAAGGAGCCAGACCAGTAGGTCTGAAATGAATGGCAGAGAATCAGTGTTTGTAAGACAGCTGCTATAACAGACTGGATTTGAGCCAGACTTGGCATTCAGTTCTGGCATGAGGACCATTATGGAGAAAAAAAGACGTAAGGAAAGGCAGCTCAATCCTCCTCACCCTCACTAAAGCATTCAGAGAAACGACAGAGCTTCTGTGAGCTGTCTCAAGGCAGTTTTAAAGAGCTGCTAAGGTCAGGTTTTGGCCCTCTGCTTCCCTACAGACAAAGGGTCTGATCAGTGCTGTGAGCCTACCATGCACTCTGCAAGGTTACTGGTATTTAAGTGATAGATATTTACATGCAGATATTTAAGTGAAGCTGTCCATCCATCAGCTGGTCCCCAGTTTGCTCTACCTTTACTACATCACAGCTCCTAGTTTTGACAGTCGTAGGACTTTTGTGTTCCTGAAACAACAAGCTTGCAGAACTGGAACCAGGATGGTTCCCAATAAGGTAAGAGACAATCCAAGCACAGATCTGATGCAAGTGCAAAGGGCTGACATGAGAGATAATCAAAGAGGCTTTCTGATGGATATTTAAGGATTTTCAATATCAAAGGCATGTCTAAGGCAAGGCCAGGGCGTAAACATACTGCAAGAACTGAGACTTGGTCAGCCTTTACAACCCCTGAGGACTGCAGAATAGAAGGGACAGAGAGAGAACAAATCGAGTACATTGCACAGATATTCTGGTTTGGCATTTGCCAGAAGAAAAACTCCTCGTGCTCTGGAAACACAGGGACATTCACCCTTCCCTCAACAGGAGCTCCCTATTAAGTCTGCAGAAGAGAAGGGAACCTCTAGTTCTCTAATTCCGATTCACTCAGATACAAACGACCACCTACATCAACACTCTGAGAATGAGTACTTCCTTATTAGTATGAAAAAGAGAAGAAAAACATTTTTAAAAGATGCACGTTTCCCAGCTTTGCTAAAGCAACGTTTTCAGGACAGGTTTTCATGTCCAGCAAGAGCTCAACGGAGCACAAAAGAGTTCTGAGCTGGTCACAAGCTTAAGTCTCATCCAGAACAATCTTGCTTCCCACACACTGGAGTAGCAGCTGCCATTGGCGCAGTTTCAGAAGATACACATGCAGCTGTCAAGGAAAAACTGTAGTGACAGTTTTCAAAGTTGAGCTTCCCCAGAAAGAAAACAGTACAACACTGCAGAATAGAGGTGACAACGCTGGGAGCAGCACTGCACTGGGTTTATGAGGCAAAGTTCTGGGAGGACTTGTGCTTGGTGCAAGCAGAGCACAGCACGGCCCCGTGTCAGCTCAGGGCAGCCCCAGCTGCTCCAACAGGGCTCAGCTGCTGCCAGAGCTGAGCTGCCACGTAATGCCAGGGTGCTCTGGGAGAGCAACAGCAGATGGGAGACAGGAGGGAGAAACTGAATGAATCAGGTAGATGCTACAGGCAGCACAGAGAAGGAGGGCAGGAGCTGCTCCAGGCACAGAGCAGCAGTTCCCTGCAGTCCAGGAGAGGCTGGAGGAGCAGGCTGGCCCCCTGCAGCCTGGAGGCACGACACAGGGCAGATCTTCACCTCAGAAAATACCTCATCCCACTCAACCTACCAAAGCTTTGGAAGATGTTAGGTCAGTACACAGGTTGCTCACTATACAATACCTGCTGATTGAAGCCGTGTTTCTCTTCTATGACAAAAGTGTTGTATAAACTCCACGGGAGACCAGTCAGGGCACTGAACAGCGTGGCGAGCAGCAGGAACACCAACGACTGAACGATCTGAAAGCAAAACAAAAGAGCTGATCTTCACTGACCTATACTGATTAACATTCCTGCTGTCAAAAAGGATTCCATGTCAGTAGTGTAACTGAATCTGGTTAGAAGCTAAAGCTAGATGCATTCACAGAAACAGCATTTCTGAGTGTTAGATTACTGACTGCTGGAGCAGCCTCCCTTACACCAAAGCAAACTGTTTTCATAAAGGATCTGGTGGTTGATGCTTTGATGCCTGAAAACTTTGAGATTGTGTTCAGCAGTAGACCCAGCTAATTGTGAGAACAGCCCTTTCTAACCTTAGCTTCTAGCACATACAGAGATGGATGCTCCCCCACACTCACACTGCTGCTGCGGTGTGTAGGCACTGCTCAGAACTTCTTCAGAATACAAACCAGGATGTCATCACGTATCTCAGACATCTCATGGAGCAGCTGGAGATAAGAGAGGCCACTACTCAGGTCTGCTTAGAAAGGAAACTTTTTACCACTGACTTCTGAGTAGAACAGAGGTCGACTGTCCAAAAAGCAATAGCTTTAAATCTCAGAAGTTATTTATGTGCCTTCTGCAGAACTTTTGGAGTAGAGGAGTAATGAATCCATAATGACTATAAACTATTTATTCTGGGGAAATCTCACCATGTAATTTAAAGAAAAACACCTTAGACAAAACTGGCAGGACCACCTCCCTGTGATCATATGGCTTTCAAGTGGTTTTTATGATGGTAGAGAGAGGTTTTCAAGAGATGTGTTTCTATTTGCTCACTCAGGCAGCAGACAGAGGAGATACATCAGAACTGACACAACCTAAGAGTGAAGCAGAGGACACTAAGCTTTCCTTACCCTAAACTGAGGGCACCTGATGATAACCCAGCTATGGGAGCAGAAGGAATGATGGACATTTCCTTTGCACGGGTATATTTATTTTTCCTGCTCCAAGACAAAAATAAAAAAGAAGGCACATTATTTATTTGTGGGGGTCATCTCAATAGAGTACCTTGGGCTTAAGTGATTGAAGCAGGAAAAAGTATGACACCTCAAAGGTGCCATCAGATGCGGGGGTTTTCTTGACACGTCAAATCTTCTCTAGAATGGGAAAGAGTCTGGAACAGAACTCCTCCTTTCTCATTTGGAGGAGAGACTCCAACTCCTCAAGAAAATGGGTGAGAAAGGACATTTCATGCAAAACTGGATGCCTTGGCCATCACACGTCGTCTCTGAGACTCAGCCACTGAAAGTAACCCCACAGGTTCAACCTCCCCCCTCAGTGCTGCTTGTAGGACCCACCGTGGAAGAGCTGGCAGCAATGGCCACTGCTGTGGTGTGACAGCAGGGATGTCTGACACACTCTCCTGTATTTGATATCCCACGCTGTGACAGGCAAAAGCTTTCATCTATCAGAAAGTGGTCCTGAGAGGGGGAACAAAGAACCCCTAAGCCTACACCCCCCTGTGCTGCCATCCTGACACCACAGAACAGCTTTGTTCAAAGTGAGCAGAAGCTTTTTCTGGACTGCTTGAAGGTCCAAACAAAGCCCTGATCAAAACATCTACAATACTTAAAATATAAAAGCCCTTAAGCCCCATCTGCCACCTCAGCTAGCTGAAGGGGCGCTGAGATGTGGGTCACTCCATGTTTAATGCTTTCTGTAGCATTTCAAGACTGCTTACCTCATATTCTGGTCCAAACCCAGCACGGCCTGAAATCTGACCAGACAGATTCCAGAGAAAAGGAATTCCTCCGCAGACGAGAATCATCTGGAAAACAAAAACACAAACCACAGAGCCCACATGAAGCAGGCTGTCACCCTGTGCTGCTATGATTTCAGCATGAGAAGTGACTTCAGAGGATGAATCAGAAGAGTTTTGTAATTAGGTTTTCCCCCTTCTCTTCCCCTGACCTCAGCTCTATCTTTTCCATATACAAAAGCACTCGTTGCCCATTGTAACACTCTTAAGAAGGACCTTTTGGCATTCCTCCTTTTCTCACAGGTTTGTCTTTCCATCTCCTGCTTAATTTGAACCTACAAGTCAAAACAGCTGTAGCCTTTCAAACACAGAGGTTGTATTTGTAATAATTGAAAATCACTCCAATACTCCTTAATTACTTGGAAAGCATAATGGCTCAGCTGTGCCCCAGCGCATAACTATACGGGTTGTAGCTGTGCAGGATTATTCAGCACTGCACAGAGAAATCACTTGCTACCTGAATCATCTTTTCACAAGGCAATACAGCCACAAACAAGAAACACGGAGCCTGAACCATTCAAATTTCAGTCTGATGTGAGGTGCCACAGTGCCAACAGCACAGGATCACCCCAAAGTATTTCACAATTCCTTCACCATGAAAATCACCACCTGATGCTGGAGCAGCTCTGGTACTTACAGTGCCCTCCAGCTCTGAGTACAGCCCTGACCAGAAGCTGAAAGTGCTCTTGTCCAACTGATACAGACGAGATTTTTCAAACGTTTCTGAATCCATGATCTGTCCCAATTCCCACGGCACGTGTGTCGTTGTTCTGTACACCCGTCTCTGAAAAAGAGAAAGAAACTTCAAAATGACTTCCAGTGTTCTGAAGGGGAGAAATAAGACTGAGAGAGGCATCGCATGGCAAATGCTCACCAGCCACCCCAGAAAGGAAAAAAAAAACAAACAAACTGAAAAACTCCACAGGAAACAAATATTCCAAAGTTCTTGTTTTCTGTGATGTTCCAAATCTACAATCAAAGCACAACTGCCAGACCCAGAAACCAAGCTGCTTGCTTACCCATTTCTAACACAAAAAGTTGCTATATAAAGATCACAGAAAGCAATTCTTTCCACGGGGTAAGACTGACGGTGCTGTGATTATGACCAAGCAGAGTTTCAAACCCACCATCACATCCTCTGTGAAATCATCCCTGTGAGTTGGCTGCACACACTGGGTGCGATTTCATTTTCAATCAAGAACTTTTCACTTGTAAATTTCAGAAGTCTGCTCGCCGTTCTTCCATCCATCCTTGCCTCATTTCAATAGTTTTGCTCCTCCTCCAAGGAAAAGCTCCTCAGCTCTGTCACTCATCTCCTTCCTTCAAGCAGAGGATCAGGCTGCAGATCACCCAGCGGCTCACAGCAGCTGCCATTGCTGCTCTCCCCCCTCCGAGATGCAGTTTGCTGTCTTCACAGCAGCCCTCACAGTGCTGCGCTCTGCGTGCGCTGCTGCGATGTGCCAACATGGCATCAAGGTGCACTGTGCCCCTCTCTCTGCCCAAGGGCATGGAGAATGGGGATGCACAGCAAGACAGGAGAGGACACTGCTGGGGCAAGGGGATATCCATAGAATCATCTGAGTTGGATGAGACCTTTAAAGGCCACGTGGTCCAACTCCCCTGCAGTGAGCAGGGACACCCACAGCTCCATCAGCGCTCAGAGCCCCTCCAGCCTCACCTCGGGTGTCTGCAGGGATGGGCACCACCACCTCTCTGGGTAACCCACTCCAGTGCCTCACTGCCCTTAATGTATTCCAATTTATACCCAATGCAGATCTCCTCTCTTTGAAACCATTCCCCCGTCCTATTGCCCTGCTAAAGTCTGTCCCCTTTCTTACAGCCCTTTCAGACACTCACAGACCCGTAGGTCTCCCCGCAGCCTTCCCTTCTCCGGCTGCACAGCCCAGCTCTCAGCCTGGCCTCGCAGGGAGGTGTTCCATCCCTGGGAGCATTTTTGTGGCCCTTCTCTGGATGCTCTCCAGCAGCTCCACGTCTCTCCTGTCCTGAGGACTCCCCATCTGGGCGCAGTGCTGCAGGTGAGCTCTCAGCACACAGCAGAGGGGCAGATCCCCCGCTTTGGATGCAGCCAGGGTACGGTTGGCTGTGAGCTGTCGTGTCCAGCTGCCATCCATCAGTGCCTCCTTTTGGGCAGGGCTGTGCTCCGTCCTTACATCCCCAGCTCATGCTGATGGTGATAGTGTTGCTGTGACCCAGGTGCAGACCTTGCACGTGGATTTATTGAACCTCACGAGCTGGGCGCACCGCTCGTCCTACCCGGTTCCCTCCCGCCGCCATCCCGCACCGCAGGGCACCGCGCTCAGCAATAAGAACTGACGCGGAGGAGGAAGGCAGGACGCTGAGCCGCGGCGCGGAGGCCTTCAGCGCGGCACAGCGCCTTCACCGCACGGCTCGTTTGCAACCGAGAGGAGCGAGCGGGGCAGGACGGCGCACACCGGCACCGAGCGGCACCGAGCGGCACCGAGCGGCACCGAGCGGCACCGAGCGGCACCGAGCGGCACCGAGCGGCACCGAGCGGCACCGAGCGGCACCGAGCGGCACCGAGCGGCACCGAGCGGCACCGAGCGGCACCGAGCGGCACCGAGCGGCACCGAGCGGCACCGAGCGGCACCGAGCGGCACCGAGCGGCACCGAGCGGCACCGAGCGGCACCGAGCGGCACCGAGCGGCACCGAGCGGCACCGCGCCCCGCCCGACCCTCGCCGCGCGCCGGGAAAAAGCCGCGTGAAGGGAAACCAGCTCCGCTCGTTGGGCCGGGCTCTCCCCGCTCCCGCCAGCCCCGGCCTCCGCTCAGACTCAGCCCCGCCGACCTGCCGGTGCGCCAGGAAGGCCTCCCACAGGTACACGGCCCAGGAGAAGAGCAGGACGGAGGAGAAGATGCGCTTCTCGGCGGGCAGCTCTGCCCACAGGTCGCCGGGCAGCGCCATGGCCCCGCGCCGCGCTCGCACTTCCTCCTTCCGCCGCCAGCGCTGCAGCGCCCCCTGCCGGAGCGGAGGAGCAACGCGGGGTGAACCCGGCTCTGCGGCGGAGGCAGCGAACGGAATGAAAGGAAACCCGAGCGCTGAGCGGGGGAAGGGACGGAGCCGGGCTGCCCGCTGGCAGCGCACAGCAAGGCCCAACTAAACGGAAGGAAATCTTGTTTTCACTGCGCAGGACGGGGGATGCGGGGGCACGCGGTGGACACAGCCCTGAATGCTGGCTGAGCAGAAGCTGAGGCTGGTGGGGTGAACAAGGTGTTTTCAGGAGGACTTTTCTGACCAAAATGAATGCAGCACCGTGGGGAGGCTGTCCTCAGAGATTCAGCGAGTGAAGTCCAGACAGCACTGCCCCAAAGCCCTCAGTCCCTTTTCCATCTGCTCCAAAGCCATCGTAGCATTCGATGGACATTTGCTTTCCATGCACCCAGGAAAAGAATCCCGCTGGTGGAACTGCACTTCTTGGGCCTGGCATCAACACACAGCTATTCATCGGGATGATCAGCAGTTAATCATCAGCGCTCTGTTCCAACTTGTGTGAAACGTCTGATGCCGTCCCACGTCACATCCCCGTCTGCAGATCAGAGACGTGGGTTTGGTGCATGGAGCACGGCTGGCTCAGGGCTGGCTGCCCTCGGAGCATTCCCAGCGCCCGGTGGTGGAGTGGGAGCACTGCAACCTGATGTTACCTCACACAGCTCTGAGCTGCCACCCCACCTCCTGCTCAACCCTCCTGGGTTTTCAGTTGGCTCCATTCTAACGTGGTGAATCTTCCTGCCCATCTTTGCCATTCTTTCCTGCTGGTTTCTACTGCTTCTGCTCAGAAATCCCCCTTCCGATTCACGTTTTCCATTCTGCCCAGGATGAACTCCATGCTGGAGGCGGATTACCTTTCCAAACACCACGTTGCTGCTTTGTGCATTTCCCTCCTGCCCCCCAGCTTGCTGCAAAGCCAAGAATTCCAGCATGATTGAAGGAGCAAGGAGTTTCTTAGCAACCTAAAATGCAAAGGAATAGAAACTCGACTCCCACACAGCTTCTTACTGTGACTTTAGCAGAGCTTGAAGGGAATTCACACCCTACTGGATGGATGCAGTTTTCAGTATTGAAGCTAGTTGTGTCCATTCACCCCTACGAGCCCACAGAAGTCTCCTTCCCCACTGCTTCTAAAAAAACACCTCTTTCCAGGACATAACCATCTGTAATGACGTTACTCTTCTCCCAGTTTCCAGTAGAGTTCCAGTTGCTTTGCTTTCATCCCCAGTGCTATTGAGGGATGTCTCTTAGCTGTCCTCAACCAGCTCCGGTTTTTCCATTCCTTATTTTCTCCTCCTTGCAATGGAGCATTTATTGCCTTCAGCGTAAGCTCTGTTAAATCCTTTCTGAAATCAGGCCACCCAACACGTGTCCAGTGCATCTCTTGGGCTTCTTGTGCTGGGACCAACCTCAGCACACAGCTGTTCTTCTGCAGGGACTGCCAGAAGGCGGGATCTTCTAGAATTCAAAATCTACATTGCCTCCTGTAGAGAGAGGTGGCGTGGACGACACCACAGGAAGAGAACAGGAGCGCAAAGATCAGAATACAGAATCAGAGCAGTGCACTCAGAGGATTGTTCGAATAGAATCAAACAGAATAGAATCAAATTGAGCAGAATGGGAGGATTTCAGAGTGGGGAGCAGGCACTACTATGGCACTGGCTGTGCACACTGAGCAGGAACCCTGTTAGGGATGACAACCTTTCTCTCCCACTCCACCTCTGTGCTCGCACGTTTACATGGTTTTGTAGTGAAACGTTTTAAAATTGAAGAGTTATTTGGCTTTTAAGCCATTTCTTGTCAGCTCGTTGTGAAGTCAAGCAGGTCCTCCCCCTCCCTCCCCATTCCTACAACAGAACAAACAGAATATGTTTGAGGAAATAGAAGGCAAGTAAAATTTGGCAGTCCTACCAGGAAACAAATATCTCTTGAGTGGATCCAAAGTACAACAGAGCTTCTCTGTGTATCTACTCTCAGCCCCACATTCAGGTGCAGGCAGTGATAGGTGGCAGCCCGCAGGGGACGGTGCTCAACACCTTCAGTGACACAGATGGGATCCAGATGCACCATCAGCAGTTCACACAGAGTTCTTTGGCAACAAGGACTTACAGTGGAGTTTATATAATCCACATAAGAAATGCAAACTCGGTTGAAGTCATGTTTTTAAAATGATTTGGGAGTTTGACATAAGGACGTAGGAAACCAGGCTCTGGAGGGAGAGGTGATGCTGCAGCAATGTGCACTTTGTAGCTTTGCTCATTAATCACACTGCAAGGGCAGCAATACCCCCCAGAAAGCCAGAATTTTGTGCACTGCTCCTTCTGTCTGCCTGTGGTAACTGTTGCTGTTCCCACATCCATCTCAGGAGAGGGAAATCAATGCACCCTGAGTTCCACTGGAGACGGATATTTGCAAGAAGCCTTTCTACAGCAATTTATCCCATCGTCTCAGGCCAACTCTTGTGATGCATTTCTCTCTCACACAGAAGAGCTCCATCCATGCCAAGCTGAAACCCCTCTTACTGCTGGACAATTCTGTGCACCTAGAATTGTCCTTATTTAAAAAAAGCCCACAACTAATTCACAAACTGCACGAGGACGTTCCCTGCCCATCTATGGACACAGCTTCCTATGGACCAGAAAGCAGAAATGGGAAAGAAACAACCTGCACAGAGTTTCATTACAATCAAACTTGAGCACAGATAGGCCATTCTGTCGGATGCCCCCCGCTGCCATCTGTCACACAGCAACAAAACGTCACGGGATGATGGTGGGAAGATTCCACCTCTGCTGCCACACCACCTTCATCTGTCTGGATATTGGTTACCAACAAGCACTTTGGAGGATGCTTCATTTACTTCAGACACCCAACCCCAGTGCAAGATTTAACATTTTGACCTCATCTTTCCTCTCCTAAAAACTAACAGGATTCACACATCCTTTCACAGTTTCAAAATGAGATGGGAAAGATACAGCAAAGGGCCCTGCTGCTTGGAGCACAATCTGTGCGCTGCAGGGAGTTGGCCTGGATGGTCTTCATCCAACTCCAAGGATTCCGATTCCACTGCGTTCTTTGAAGGTGCCCAAATCCCTGCTCCAAGTTCTGAGTCGCTGAGGGACGGCACTGCTGTTTGCTCACCGCCATTCCTGTGGAGACTGGGGCAAAAGCACTGATGGAGGAACCAAACGCCGTCTCTCCAAGGTGAGAAATGAGACGCAGCAGGTCGAAAAACAAGGAGGCCACGCTAAGGATTTACTGTACAGTAAATAAATGGGTGAAAAATCGTAATTTATTGAAACTCATAACTCAAAAAATATAAGATGCTGTAGTGTACAATATGTTACACAAAGCACCCTCGGGTGCACATTCAAGTCAACTCCATCGCCCCAAACCCTGGTACCCCAGCACTGTTCCATACACAGTCATGCACACGTACGCTGCAGGAGGAAGCCTCCAGTACTCTGATGTGTTAAATAGCACCAAAATCAGCAGTCCATTGGAGGAAAAAAAAATAGAGGGGGGAGGAGGGAGCTAAATTAACTTGGCCAATGCTTTTGACAGATATTATACATTCATGTAATTAAACAGTCTAAACTAACCTAAACAGTGTGAACTGTGACAGCTACTGCTCTGACGTGAATTCTCCCCAATAGCAGCAGTGCAGGCAAGCTGCTCCAAGCAGAACTGCTCACATACTTCCTACGCAGAGCTCGTCTGCCTTTTTTGTCGGAAATAAATCTATAAGGGCTGTGGAAAATTTGGATCTTTCAAGAACAACTACAGGCCTTAAGTAATGGAGCTGCTTTAAGGCAAGGTCTCCGCAGCCCGTCAGCGCCTTGTCCAAGATTGCCCTCAGGTTGTCTAAAGAAGGGGCAGATGAGGGCTCTGCCAACAAGGGCTGCATTTCTGCGAGCTGCCCAGGATCGCTTTGGGGCACGACGACGCTTTTGTCACTCGCACAGCTGTTCAGCGTGGAGTCCTTCTGACCCTCTCCCTCTTTCTGCAGTGCTCTGTCTATGGGCAGCTGCTCGGGGGACTCCCATTCCACCACCTCATCAAACTCCTCGTCGTCGTCGTCATCTTTTCCCTCGCTTTCCTGAATGAACTTTAAAAATGAAGACTCAAACCCCATTGGCTTATATGTCTTTAAATCAAATGGTCTGGAGACTGGAGGCTTCTGAAATTTGTCTTTCGTAGCAAAAAGCACGTTTCTTTTTGCACTTGGATTGACTGCGCTTTGCTCGCAGCCTTCTGGCTCTTTCTCTCTTGGCAGTTCTAATTGTAAACCGGAGAAATAAGAGCTATTTTCTCTTTCACTGTTCTCAGAAAACTCCTCGGTGTTCCCCACGCCCGACTCCCTGACGTTCTGCTCTTCCAAACAGCTGCTTTTGGAGCTGTGGCTACAGTTTAAAGTGCCCGAATACACGAAGGCACCCGTACTGAAGCTCTCGCTACTCGATGGACATTGCTTCTGCTCCTCGCTGCTCACATCCTGATGCTCAGTGTTCGAAACGAGAGGCTCCTCCGCTTCCTGCGGGCATTCAGGATCAGCTGATTTCTCCTCTTTCACTTCTACGTCTTTCTTATCCAAGTCTAAGGCTGGGTCAGAGCAGGCCTGCTTTTCAGTCATTGTGCCACATTTAACGCAAAGAACGAGTTTCTGAATCCTCTGCTCTATGTACATGTTGGTCATCTGATGTGTGCGCTTATAGTGCCTCAATATGCTGCTTTCCAACTTGACAACAGACAGACATCCCACAACCATGCACGGGTACTGGGTCTGGTTAGAATTCTCCTGACACATCTGCAAGGCTTCCTCTTTTGTTTTGAAACTAAGCAAATGCTTGTCTTTACTTCTGCTAATTCTTTTCGGTTTGTCTTTGACCCTCTTTCCATTCTGCTTGCTTAGGCCAAAACCGCCTCTCACACAACTTTGCCCACTTTTATTT